ACTCAGGAGGCTGAGGCAGAAGTATTGCTTGAGCCCAGGAGTGTGAGGTTGCTGTGAGCTAGGCTGACGCCACAGCACTCACTCTAGCCCGGGCAACAAAGCGAGACTCTGTCTCAAAAAAAAAAGATGGAAAAATATATACCACGCGAATAGCAACCAAAAGAAAGTTGTGTTAGACATATACATATCAGGGTAGATCTTAGGAGAAATAGCAAACTTAGAGATAAAGAGACAATTCGTGCCAGGTATGGTGGCACACGCCTGTAATCTCAGCTAGTCAGAAGGCTGAGGCAGGAGGATCTCTTGAGCTCAGGAGTTCAAGACCAGCCTGGGCAATACAGCAAGACCCCATGTCAAAAAAAAAGAGAGGGAGAGATAATTCATGATGACAAAAGAATTAACTCCCAAGATACAACCATCCTAAATTTATATGGTCACCTCAAAACGTATAACATAAAAATTGATGAAACTAAAATAGACAAATCCACAGTTATCATACCAAGATTTTTAACATATAGGCCTCATTAGCTAAAAAAACAAAACCAAAAAAAAAAAGGAGATAAAATAATAAAAACAGAAAATTTCAAGAACAGAATTAGCAAACTTGACAAAATGGATATATAGAGTATACTTCACCAACAAGTGCAGAGTAAACATTATTAAGCATGCATGGAGTATTTACAAAAACTGATCCTATAAAATTACTAATAAATGTTGCAAGATTAATAATCTGAGTATTTCCTTTAACCCTATGGTTAACTTAAAAAGAAATTAATAGCAAAAAGATAACTACTTACTGAAGTTGAATATATGAATACCCTATGAAGCAGTGAATCAACTTCTACATTCACATCCAAGAGGAAAGTGTATCCATTAGTACTAATAGTCCCACAATGAAACAACTCAAATGTCTATCAACAGTATATAAATCAATAGTGGGCACATAAATTGTTTATTCAGATCACGGAAACCTAAACAGCAATGAAAAAGAACTGCTTATATGCAGTGATATAGATTAATGTCATAATCATAGCACTGAATGGAAAGCAGACCAAAATATACATATATGCACAATTCTATATTATACAGACCCCACTTAACCAGTCCTCAGGAATACATGATTAGGTGGTTATTCAAAGAAATAAACGCCAAAAAGTGATTACTCTAAAATTTAGAACAGTGTTTACCTTTTGAAGAGAATGAGGGAAAAATAAATGGAAGTGGGCATGAAGACACGTTTTGGGGGCTAGAAATGTTATTTCTTTACCTAGGTGGTGGTCACATATATGTCATGATAAACTGCTGAGCTATGCAATTGTTTTCTGCACTTTTCTGCATGGGTATTGTATTTCACAATATTAACAAGTTTCAAAAATTAAACAGGAAGCTAATAGACTGTAGTCATCTTTCAGCTCCTTATAATCACTGGTCAGGACTTGCTCTAAAATTTAATAAAAATCCCTCTGCTGGCAGTGGTTTCAGACAGGGAGGAATACAGAAGTGATTGCTTACATATACATAGATTACCTCTGAAAAGACAAGAAATTGGTTCCATTCCTTGCTTTGCAGGAGGGGAAATGGTGAGTGTGAAGGAATGTTTTCAAACCTAACTTTTATCTTTAAAACTTTTCTACCTTCTAAAAGCATTAATTATTCACACACATGAATTTTCTTAAGATAAAAATTCTTAGACACTTAATTTCAGGCCAGCTCCAAGAAAAAGCCTGATTTATAAATAATTTTTGAAAAGGTCAAAATTTTTTGCCATGGTATGTTTCTGTTCCACTATAAACGTAAGAGTTTTTACAAAATCAGTATGATAGTCCAAGAAAACAAATACGAATTAATTTTGACCCTTCTAGAATCTCCATATAAAGGAAATCTTATATTTTTATTTAAAAAGCTCTTTCAGATGAGGATCTGAGATTAAAAAAAGAAAAAGCTCATCTATACTACATATGCTACAAATTTCACTTAGTAGTCACTTTCACAATTGGAAGATACAAGACACTAAAAAGAGACACTAAAATAAAGAATTGATAAATTCCTTTTAAAAGCCCTTGCCATTCTGGAGCTAAATGCAAGATTGAATTTATCACTACTTCTCATGCAAATTGTTTTTGCTTTCTGTTAAACTGTTGAAGAGAATAAGACCACACCCACTTATCCGAAACCACCAACGCAGGGTCACTTCCAACACAATTTGCAAACATTTCAGTGACTGTAATGTATACATAAAACCACATACTAATATTCTTAATTATAAAAACGTCAATAATTTGTACCATGATAGAATTATAAATAAACACTGATCCTGCCATGTGAAGAAAAAGAATCACGGAAAACAAGAAAGAAAATAAGTTTCCACTGCTTGACAATCAAGAACTTAATTTTTAAGTGTAGGTATTTATTTAAAATAATGCCACCACATATTCAACACCCTCAAATAGTATTTCAGATATTCAAAGTTGTTTTATACTAGTTGCAAAAATAGCATTGCCTTGTTATTCATCTCAAATTTCTCAAAGACATCACCCAAATATACTGTTCACATTAGATGCAAGAAATAACATGATGCCAAAACTACACACAGTATAGACAAAATAAGACTGGTCACCAGTTGATGATTGTTGAAGCTGAACAGTGGAAACATGGAGTCTATTTTACTCTTCCATTTCCATTATGTTTGATATTTTCCCAATTAAAAAGTTTCTAAAAGTACACATACATAAAAACATAAGGATTTAAGACTGTTCTAGTGGGGAGGGAGGACTCTACGAATTGAATTAGAAAAGAATATAAAACTATTTACATTTCCCCAAAATATCCCTCCCATAAATAAATTTCCATGAAACATGATAGCAATGAAACTTACATATAATTGATATTTAAATACTTACATACCACTTTATTACTGCATAAAATATATAATAAAAGAAGGTATATACCAGTAAACGTACTTGCATCATCCCTTTCTATTCTGGTTCCATCACTAGTTGAGACACAAGTAAAGTGCAGGGGTTCAACTTCTAGAAGTCCAGTGAGAGATGTGAAACTACCCTCAGCAGCTGTGCAACTACTGACCTTCCCATTTCCTGATACAGAGAAAAGACAAGTCTTACAATATGTGAAGATTATCTTAAAAGGCAATAGTCACATTGATAATTATAGCTGCTATTCCAATTCTAATTAGAACATACATAAATATACAACTCTTACATAGTACCTCAACAACAGACATAGCATTAAGAAAACAAAACAGTAGATACCAGTTTCCTTGATACAAAAGCAGATTTGCATAAAAGCAACTTAGAAGCCCTTCACATTAATAAGAAACATGAGTAATAGTTTTCTATAACACAAAATTTACATTCAGTAACAAGTAACTTAGATTCTAAATGAGGAAAAAATAATATTAATAAACTAGATACTGTCATTAGCTATCACCCAATCTGATGAGTATGCATAAAATCAGAACACATTGTATGATGTTAATTGTATAAATGTAAGACACTAAAAAAGACTAAAGAAACATTTTAAAATATTAGTAAGAAATATCTATACCTATTTCTTTGTATTTTATGTATATAATATTACCAATTTTCTAGAATGAAGCACGCTACTTTATATCACAAAAATAGTTTAAGCTAACACAAGCAGTTTTAAAAAGAAGAAAACCACATGGCCACAACTACATGACCAATAAAACCACAACAAGACAACTGGAAGGAAGAATATGAAAGAATTCACATGGCCAGGTGTGATGGCTCACACCTATAATCCCAGCACTTTGGGAGGCCAAGGAGGGAGGATCACTTGAGCCCAGGAGTTTCAAGACCAGCACAGGCAACATAAGGAGAACCCATCTCTACAAAAAATAAAACAAAAAATTAGCCAGGCACGGTGGAGTGTGCCTGTAGTCCTAGTTATTCAGGTGGCTGAGACAGGAGGATCACTTAGCCCAGGAAAACAAAAGGATTCACAGTAACTATGTATATAGTTTGGGAGAACAGGATCGTATTCACTACCTTCCAAATTTTCTAGAATTGGCACTCCTTTAAACAGAATTCTTTAAAAGACAAAGTAAAACAAAATCCAGACATGAAACAAACACAGAGATACATAAAAAGTGTCATCAACAGCTGAAGAACTACTGAATGCCAGACTAAATTGTCATAATCTTATTTTCCACCGTGCCACTGGCAGACAGCATAGGGCCTGATATGTTCAAAAAACATTTATTGGGCACTTAATCAATATAAGACTTGGGAGATAAAGGAGTGAAAGGATAGGCCCCAGTCTTCATGAAGTTTATATTCTGTGTTAGTGGTTATTAGGCATTAAACAAGTATATAATCGAACTTCAAAAAAAAGTGCAAGGTTTTACTTAAGAGAAATTTAAAGGACTGATAAGTCAAGGGGTGATCAGACCTAAGTCAAGAGGTAATAAAATGCTTCCCTGATGAAATGGATGAGATTCTCAGGAAAAATAAGAGATTTCTATGTATTTATTTCTTTGAAGTGGGAAGGCAAAAGGAACAGGAGTGAAATCCCTGCAGTAGGAAGGAACACAGCACATTTGAGGACCTGAAAGAACAACATGACCAAAGAAATAGTTCTCAATCTTAAGATCCCTCTACATAGCTTAAAAATATTAAGAATCCTAAAGAGCTTTTGTTTATGTTGACTATACTGATACTTACCAAAGTAGAAATGTTAAGACATGGAATTTTAAGTATTAATTTATTTAATAATAATAAACACATTAAATGTTAAGAGAAATAGCATAATTTAATGAAAAATAACTATTTTCCAAAAGAAAAATAATTTAATGAGAAGAGTGGCATTTCACCTATTTAAAAATCTCTTTAAAATCTGGATTATCAGAGAATACCTGGTTTCTCCTATCTTTCTGCCTCTGCATTCAATGTGTTGCAATATGTTGTTGTGGCAGAAGTATGTGAAAAAAATCTGATCCAACACAAATACGTAGTTGGAAAGAAAATTTTTAAGAGCCTTGCATATTCAAAAACTTGATAAGTGGTAGTTTCTAAAAGATTAGTTACAGTTCAGATTGGTATCTGAAATCTTAACAATGAACTTCTCAAATTCTGTTACATTAAGATCGTATCTTGTACTTTTAAGGAATCTTTTACCCATGAACGACTGGTGAAACATCACGCACTGAGCATTTGGAAAATATTGGCTCACCACTATAGACAAATGTTAACACATTTCACTATACAATATCAGAAGATGACACTCGTTAATATCATCACATGCCAAAGAGTCTTTACGTATTGGGAAGCCATCAAGCTCACTGTGGAGGATACATGATTTCCAAAATTCTAATTTTTTGCTTGAAAGCTCTACTTTTAATATTGGCAACAAATACTATCAACCTCTCCCAAAGCGACAGGCTATTTTCATTCATTTTTCAGAAAATATCTGCCAGATACCCAAGTCTGAATGAGCGTAGTATAGTTTGCTTTTGCCTGTCAGTTGTTATCGTTATTGCAAATAAAAATGGTGTTGCATGAAATAAGCAACTAGTTCAGCTTATAACTCAAACAATTTCACCAATGTATTTCCCTGAAATAACCATGGTACTTCAGCATGCAGCAAAAGTGCTTTATGAAGATTTCCCATTTCATCACAGACTATTTAAAAGATGTGTACTCATAGGTTCAGAATTTAATGAAATTAATAATTTTTACTACATCATCAAGGAAAATCATAAATGAAACTAACATTTTATTTCAAGTGCACAGTGAAGAACACCATGCTTTTGCACAATCAGTACAAACGTGTGAATGAAGCGAAAAAGGCAAATAACATCATTCTACTATTATAAAAATAGTTCTTACCTATGGATCCTCTTAAGTGATCTCAGGAACCTTGAGGGGGTCTATGGAGAATTACTGGGTCAAAGAAGAAGAAAAGGGGCAATGGCAAAAGATAAGGTGGCAAGGGAAAAGAAAACCAAATCATATAGGATTTTATATGCTATATTAGAGACTTTGAACTTTAGAGTAATGGGAAGACGTGAAAAATATCTTAAGGAAAGAAGCGATTGTTTGCATTCAAAAAAGATCATGGTTACTGCAATGTGGAGAATATATCGAAGTGAAGCAAGAAAACATGAAGAAAGACCAGTTTGAAACTATTACTATAGTCCAGGTTCGAGATGACTGTGACTTGGACTGTCATCATGTGATCATGGGAGGTAACAGAATGAGCAGATCTGAAATACAGTTGGCCCTCTGCATCCATGGGTTCAGCATCCATGGATTCAACCAACTACAGATCGAAAATATTAAGGGGAACGAAAGGTTGGTTTTATCTGTACTGAACAGGTACAGACTTTTTTTGTCATTCTCTAAATAACAGAGTATAACAACTATTCACATAGCATTTACATTGTATTATATCTTTTAAGTAATCTAGAAATGATTTAAAGTATACAGGAGGATATATGCAAATACTACACCATATCATTTTATATAAGGGACTTGAGCATCCACAGATTTTGGTATCCTCAGGGGTTCCTGGAATCAACCCCCCACAGATATTGAGGAACACCTATATACACTGGTAGAAAAATAGGTGGGATCTGGTGATAGCCTCAATGTGGAGGATAAGAAAGATACAGGTATCAAGGATGACATTCAAATTTCTATCTTGTGCCACTCATGTCATTAACTGAAGAAAGGAATGCTGCAGAAGGATGAATGAATAACAAGATGATAAGACATTCATATGGAGATATATCATGACTTCTAAGTCCTTTGTGCTGGGACTTTTTACTGAGCATTTGCAAAATTGACTACCGCAGCGCTTGGACTGAAACTTGTGGTCTTTTTCTTATAAACTCACTAAGGGGTCTCATTCTGTCTTACTGTATACCGAAGGTATCTTTATCTCTAGTTCTAGCCTCTCCTCTGAGTTCTAATCATAAATTGCAATGGCCTAATTGATGTGTCACTTGGATAGAGAAGACAGAAGATGGTGAGATGGTCACAGAGCAATCAGAGCCCAAGTCTTCAAATAGAGTGATAATACATATATTCAAGGCAGGATAAGTCATTACAAAAGTAGACCAGTGTGTGTAATATGATCTCTCATTAAAAATATTAAAGAATATGTGTAGCAAACAAGTCTAAACAGCTAAAACATCTAGTTAACAATGGTAATATAAAGAGGGTAGAAAGGTTGGAGTTGAAGCATTTTATATTTTATTTATATTTCTACATTTGATTTTTGTTTTGCTTTCTTCGCAATTCATAATTTACATTAAACAAAACTGAGCTTAACTTCCAAAATTTACTTATATTTAATGTAGTAATTATCTTAACTAACATGTTTGCAAATAAATGTGCTAACATTTTGGCTTACTAGCAATACTTCGAAGAAGTGCAATTACAGGGAAGAAAATAAACAAAAGGGTCATTGTTTTATCTACTAATAGTAAACATCAAATTCTAGCACTTGAAAAGATTATACAAATAATTTTATACATGTAATCCTAAAAGCACATTCTTCAGAAGATATAGGATACACATAACATGTAAAAGCTTAGCTCAGGAGAAAATTATTTTTTCTTTCTACATCCTTGCTTATTACAGTAAGTATATATCAATTTTATATTTTTGAAATATGAAATAATGTTCTTTAACTTTACAGAGATAGCAAAGGTACAGCAAATAAAACTGAAAAGGCTACAACAAATAAATCAATTTTAAATAGTCTCTTATGACCATTAAATTGCATTGACATACAATGAAAAACAAACACAATAAAACAAATTCACAACCATTTCAAAGATAACTAACGTACCGGAGGTCTTTCTGAGGGTGAAAGGGAAAGTTAAGACATCAAACAATTTAATGATTCATAGATGTTAAGTTCTAAAGAATTTTAGTTCTCTAAAGACAAATATAGTAATTACAACCTATTAAGTCAATGGTAATTTAAATCTAAGATGTAACATTCAGAAATTCCTTTAATAAAAAAAACCACTACCTGAAAGGACTTCTGATAAATCAATTTCATCTGACTGGACACCAATGCTGCTGTTATATACATTTTTACAAGAAGAGCCACTCATCTCCAAATCAAAGAGGACTGGATCAAATGGTGAGCTATACAATCCATATCTGAAAAATAAAATAATGTAAATAATTTTCCTTTCAGCTGCCTAATTAATAAAGTACCTATTTACTTAGTTTCAAAAGCAATTTGACTTACAGGGCAGAGGGAGACACTAACCAGATTTAAACCATCAAATTCAGTGAATCTCAACTCTGTTCCCTACAAGCTATACTCCAAAAGACACTGTCCAGAGACTCAACAAATGTTGAGTTCAGTAAGCTGGTAGCTAATGAACCTGCATGCCGAAGCAAGTAAGAGATTATCAGGCATCCTCTCTCCCCTCAATCACTACAATGACATAGTAGCTTGCTTGGAGTAAATTTCATCGAAATAAAAATTTCTAATCTAAAAAGGTTAGAAAAATCACTGCTCTAAGTAAAGGAATAGCTTACTTCAAATGTTGACCATCACTAAGAACTCAAATCTAACCTTTTCTTAATTCATCACATTAAAGTTTGAAAAACATAACCAGCAGATGGAAGAAACACTAGTTAAGGGCTGTAAGTAATTTACATAATTCCACCTATAAAGCTATAACAAAAAATAAAAAAACCACATTAAATTCTTCTTCCCTTAGCAAGAAATACCACTTTTAAGAAGTAAATATAATCAGCCCTCTCAATAACCAGCTTCAGGACTTCTCAAACTGTTAAAGGGAATAATTTCAGAGAAAATTGGGGAAAAGAAAACCTCACGCTAATATCGTTTGGTAAAAGGTAAAGCATAAAGTAAACATCTTTTTGCAAGAAAAACAGCATCACCAACATATATATTAAATAACAGTTTTGTACAAAAGTGGTAACATACCCGGAAAGGTCTATTATTAGTCATTACATATACTAAAATACCTTGTTTGTAGTAAAGCCTCCAGTGGTGTTAGCCTGTGCTGTAACTGTCTGGACACGGCAGTAAGCAAAGATGCACAAGCTGTACTGCACCCAGCTAAATCTTCATCTTTAACGTAATTCAGTAAGACAAAATACCAATAGACAGAACCTGGAAACAACAAAAAGAAATGGGGATTTTTCCCCCTTTTCTCTAACAAGGAGAATTTAAGATCACATATTTATCAGTGTAACTCCTTTTGCTAGAAAGAGACCTTTTTCTGGAAAAATCTTTAAGGGCAACTTACAAAGAAGAACCAAGTTTTTGCAGGGATCACAGAGGATACTGATAATATAAACTACACCCCAAGGCATAATCTTAAACTAAGAATTTCAAACATATCTTTTGAGAGGCTTATCAAGTCAACATAGATATTAACATGTAAAATAATTTTAGATGACTCTGAGGGACATTTCAGAATAGCTGAAAAAGTAAAGAGATTACAGGTCATTCAGGCTACCCTTCCTAAAATGCTGTTCCATTGCAATAAAATTTTCAAAAACACTGGATGGCAGTGAGCTTCTAAAAAGTACACTGAATGTAATATATGAATAGCAAGTGAGTGAAATATACAAAGTGTACCAAAATGTAAAGGTACATTTAGCTACGATTTCCCATTTTCCCTATATATGGCGACTTTGGGGACATCCTGTAATTATTCTATACTGCCAGTTGGATATAAACCAATATGGCTTAAAAGATGGTCATTTGCATTTCATATGGTTCAGTGAAAAAAATAAATAAAATTATTGCATCTCACATGGTTCAGTGAAAGCATAAAATTTTTTTAAAAAGATGATCATGATGGCATATTTTAATTTTATAAAACTTTTGATGTCTAACAACTAAGTACACCCCATAATTTAAGCATCCTACCTTTAAAGCTATCAAGAGAAATTGTTCTAAACATCAGAGACTGCTACAGTGAGCAACTGAGTCTAAAACATTCTACTCTATGGAAAAGTCAACAGTTTTATCCAAAATATGTTCAAGTAAATATAAAGACTCTTTATCTAAATTAGGGTAATGCTATACCAATCATTTATCAAGTAACTTTGAGCAAGCATTTTTTCTAGTTTACCACAAAGATCAAATCCTTATGAAATATATATCTCATTGAGGCAACTTATTGAATGAGTCAGTTATTTATAAAACAGAAGATTGTGAGAAATGTCTACAAAAAAACATTAAGTATAAAAGGCCAAATAAGTAGCCCTTCACAGTAACAACAAGAAATAGTGGAAAGCGTAAAATTTGTTTTAAATTTTCATTCTCTTATACATGTACTACTTTGGGGAATTGCTTTGCCTTGTAAATTCCTGCTTGATAACAACATTCTTTTACTGATACATAATAATTACACATATTTATGGGGTACATGTGATATTCTGATACATGCACACAATGTGTAATGATCAAATCAGGATTTTTAGGAGATCCATCACCTCAAACATTTATCATTTCATTGTGTTGGGAACATTTCAAATCTTTTCCTCTAGCTTTTTTTTTTGAGATGGGGTTTCGTTCAGGCTGGAGTACAGTGATGCCATCAAAGTTCAGTGAAGCCTCAAAGTCCTGGGATCAAGCAATCCTCCTGCCTCGGCCTCCCAAGTAGCTGGGACTACAGGTGCACACCATCATACCCAGCTAATTTTTTTATTTCTTGTAGAGATGGGTCTCACTACATTGCCCAGACACATCCTGAACTCCTGGGCTCAAGTGATCCTCCCACTTCAGCCTCCCAAAGTGCTGGGATTGTAGGCACGAGCTACCATGTCTAGCCTCTTCTAGTTATTTTTAAATATACAATAAATTATTATTAGCTATAGTCACCCTATTGTGCTACTGAACACTAGAACTTATTACTTTTATCTAATCACATGTATGTCCTTTTTAATCTACCTCTCTTCGTTCCCCTCGCCACCCCCCTTTCCCAGCCTCTCTGGTAACTATCATTCTACTCTCTGCCTTCAACTACATTCATTCTTGAAAGGCATTTCTACAGAGTTTTTAAGGAGTAAAAAAACCATTGGTCACTTTTAGGAAACTCCAGTTTTCCATGGTCCCTATCAATCACATATAATATATACATGTGCAATGATACCCAGACCATCTTACTTATGTCATACTCCTTGGCACTTGCTGGCATTTTAGTTTGTGACATCTGATCTATAATCAATAAACAACCAAACAACTGAATGAGTTTAATGAAATACAGAAAAATGTTATGAAATGATCTGATATTTACTTAACTGTCCTGCTAACTTTTACCCAGGAATATTATTGAACAGAGTATATGCCCACCCAACCAACTTTTATCAATCTCTCTAAAAAAATACAGATAAGGTACAGGAACAAAAAGGGAATAATAATAGAGAAAAATTATGTTATAATCCTAAGTGTATGTGTGAGATATTCTCTATTATGACAGCTATTTGTGATTAAACTAATTTTACATACCACCAGTTGCTGCTGCAGGTAAAAATGACATATTATCAAGTAAGGCCTTCAACAAAACAGATCCAAATCCTGGTTGACATGGGTCACACTTGCCATTACTGAAAAAATGTTAAAAAGAAAAATTTTAATGACATTTCTCAAGGTCTAAATTCAACCATAAACCTGTAGTACTTAAAAATTTTTTAAATGTATTTACATTGATTATAAGAAAAATCTCCCTTGAAGCCCTATAGACATACCAAAAGAGAGAAGGAACTGATTAGATTAAGCATCTTTTTAACTGTTTTCTTATGTGGTCAACCATTATCTTTACTAAAAAGGTCTAACAAGCAGGTACAGTCAATATTAACCATTAGCTCTTAAACATTTCCTAAATACAATAGAGAGTAGAGACCCTTATCTGCAGTTTCAAATTCCAGTTTCAGTTACCTAATGTCAGGTGTGAGCTGAAAATAGGTGAGGACAGTACAATAAGATTATTTTCACAGAGATACAACATTCGCATAATTTTTTATTATAGTATATTGTTGTAATTGCTCTATTATTAGTTACCATTAATCTTTTACTGTGCCTAATTTATAAATTAAACTTTACCATGAGTATGTGTGTACAGGGAAAAAACAACAGTATATATAGGGTTTGGTACTATCCACGGTTTCAGGCATCCACTAGGGGGTCTTGGAACATATATACCCTGTGGATAAGGAGGGACTACTGTAGTTCAAGTTTCAGGGTTTAGAGAAAATGACCTGTGCAATGTTACAAAAAGACCAGTCAGATTTGTATACAACAGGGAACACAGCTTCAGGGGAAGAAAAGGATAATCAGGGACAACAGGAGTAAAAGTGAGGGAAGAGTTCCCCTTACCATAGCGCTAATAGGTAGAAAGGCTTAGTAGGCTTATTTTATTAATAGGCTTATTTAACATGACATTTTGCCCTTAGAACCCAAAATTCTTGCTTAGAATTTCAATAAACCTCATCTACTTTTGTATTTCTCTAAAATTATACATATATTCAACTATAATTACATTGTAGACAAGGTATCACCCACTAAACTACAGGTGCACCTACAAAGTATGCTTTCAACTTAAAAACACACCAACCTAATGCACAAGGCTAGAAATCGGGCACACTTATGGGCTATACTTCGTCCTGCCTCAAAGAAGCAAACGCGTACGATGTCTGAAAGACATTTTCGTGTTTTTGAAAGTAGACTCTCATTTCCTTCCTTTGAACTGCAAAACAACAGCAGACATTTAGACTCATCTTGAAGTTTCAATCATGACATCCAAAAGGCAATCATCAATGATAAGCAAAATCTTAATTATTAACCTTCCAGGTCCATTTGAATGTACTCCAGCTAACCAACAGAGAGTATCCAACACAAGGCTCTGGGCATGTTCTGTGATTTGGCCATCATCTACTTTTCTACAGAGAGTGTTAAGAAGCTTCTCATGAAATTCTGAAAACTGTAACATGGCACATCGTTGCACTCTACAGAAAAAGAAAATATAGATACAATACCAATCAAAACAGAACAATTAAACTAAAGCTGTCACAACCTGATTGATCACGTAATGTTTCATTTTAAATCATAAATATCACAATTACATTTTTTAAGTTTTTAAAATAATATATATGGAGTACTTTGTAGACCATTTTAAAAGAAATGGAGTTTACAATGTGTTATAATCTGACAAAGAATGAGTATAACTTCACATTTTTTTTTTAAGAGATGGAGTCTCACTATGTTGTCCAGGCTGGACTCAAACTCCTGCGTCCAAGCAATCCTCACACCCCAGCCTCAGCCTGGGACTATAGCCTGTATCACCACATCAAGCCGAGTATACCTTCAAATCATAGTTATCTCTTTCCTCATCTATTCCTGGTATATAACAAGCACTGTACATATACCAAGAATAAACCAATGAGGTAGAAAGACAATTCATATCCTCACTGAGATTGTAATTTCTTAAGAGAAATGGAAAGCAAACAAAAATTTTGAGGTAAAAGTTAGATTCTTAAATTTGTGTGTCTGTTGGTATCTTTTGTAGTTTTATAACTGTAATAGCAGGAAAATGAAATGAGATTACCTTTCCTTAGAAATTGAAGTTTTCTTAAACCTTCGAATGGTGACTGAGACCTCTTGAAGTAAGTCACAGCCCCGGAGGTTTTCAGATTTACGTGTGCCACTTGTATTTTCATTCTTAACATTAGATGATTTTTCCTAAACATACAAAAATAAATAACTGAATAAACAACCAAACAAAACTAAATTACTAGTAAAGTTATAAAATAAAGGAAAATAATCAAATATGACTATCAAGACATAAATCTCAAATTAAATGATAGCTATTACCCTCATATTCAGTAAATGATTTTTCCCCAGAATTATAATAGAGGGAAAAAAAAAGAAAGACATAGTCACTATTTTAAAGGTAATAACCCAATGATTAAAGATTATAAATCCAAAGTCCTGAGTCTAATTCCCAGCTATAGCACTTATAAACTATGAGATATGCCAGCTCCCCAATTGCTAAGGTTCACTCACTTTCAATATAAAAACATGGAGATAACAGCACCTGCTCTGCCTACCTCAGAGTTATTTTGAGGATTAAATCAGATAAAGTACACAGAAGTCCTTGAAAAATTGGAAGACCTATACAAATATAAGATGATTGGTGTTACTGATATTGCTGCTATTATGAATAATGATAGAGAAACAAAACCTCCAGAGTTCAGGAAAATCCAAGATCAGAAAATTACGAAGAGCTGCATGGTACACAGCTAGTTGTAGGAAATCAACCATGAAGATTAGGACATATCTCTACAATTACCTCCCAACTTATCTTTCTGCATCCTCCCAAATTTATCTCCACCACCACCCCCCGTCAAAAAAAAAGTTGTGAGTTACTAGTAAAGGGCATAGGAAAAAACTCTCAAACCTAAGGAAATAAGTATTATGGTCTAAAATAATTATAAAGGGAAGTACTAAGTTAACAATTACTCCCTACTGAGTACACTTTATAAAAGGTAGGTAATTTGCCTAAAGTTAATTCAAAACATTTTCCTCTTGATTATATTTTTCCTAAGTCACTGCAAGGAAAAAATACAAACCAAGTGTCAAGTAAAACATCAATGAAGGGTCACAGTACTTCCACAGTATGTCAAATCTGATCTACAATGTTTAAAACAGTACTGTTATTGTTCAAAATGACAATTTCATACCTTGCCTGCTGCAACTTTTGCCAAGAGTGAAGCAAGTGAGTAACCTTTGTTACTATGGTGTTTTAGGGATGGAAGTCTTACTACAGGACGTATACCACCATTACAAATCTCGTCTGTTCCTCTTTCATTCACTGCCTTGACATGGATTAAAAACGAACGATATTTTCCTCCCGCCATACCTAGAGAAGCAGCATAGAATAGGACAAATTGAATCACCAAAAGGGTCAGCTGTTTTTCATCATCATAGAGCAAGCTAAATAATCACCTCCACAGAAAGTACTCTAGGCCAGAACTTTCAAGTTATACTGTTTGAGTATAATGTGGTTTGACAACCTTCGAATATTAGTAGCAAAAAACAAAGAGCACTGGAGTTATATGAATAGTATAAGTTAGAAATTTTTTACTAATTTTTATAAACATTTAGCATGTTTCTCCCCAATGGCATTATTCATTTTAATGGTAGAAATTTTGTGAACTACCAAAAAAAAATTACAAAAAAGAATATACAATTGTCATTAAGGGGTCGGGCACAGTGGCTCACGCCTGTAATCCTAGCACTCTGGGAGTCCAAGGGAGGAGGATCGCTTGAGGTCAGGAGTTCAAGACCAGTCTCAGAAAGAGCGAGACCCCATCTCTACTAAAAAAAATACAGAAAAAATTAGCGAGGCAACTAAAAATAGAAAAAATTATCCAGGCATGGTGGCATGCACCTGTAGTCCCAGCTACTTGGGAGGCTGAGGCAGGAGGCTTGAGGCCAGGAATTTGAGGTTGCTGTGAGTTATGCTGACACCACAGCACTCTAGCCTGGGCGAAAGAACACGATTTTATCTCCAAAAAAAAAATTGTCACTAAGGTACCACCCACAGATAATTATGGTATCATTATGTGCCTCCACCTAGATTTCTTATGAAAACATACATGGACATACACACGTAGCATTACAGGATTAACAGGGAAAAAAACACAGGCTTTGGCATCACTAGCTGGGTTTGAATAATGGCTCTGCCATTTATTAGGCATGTGACAAATTATCATCTCTGTGATTCAGCTTCTTCAAATATAAAATGAGAATAATAGTACCTACCTCAGAGTTACTAAAACACTTTGTGCTTGGCACAAAGAAAGTCCTCACATAATTATTATTGCTACAATGTGTTTTACCTTGTTTTAACTAAATGTAGATCATACTATACAATCTACATGTAAAATATATTCTAAAAATTCCCTCTAATTAATACATCTGCCAGCAAAACACCAGTCTACTGCTGCTTTAGCAGGTATTAAATCTTTTCACAATTGTGAATCCTACCTTTGTTGTTTTCCAATTGTCTACCTGCCTACTGTGCTAGCACTACACTGTTACACTCTTTGCTGTACTATTCTGTGTTATAGTATCTGATCAGACTCTCCCTCTCAATCTTCCATTTCAAAATTTCTTTGGCACATCTCACCCCCTTTTACTCTTCCATAAAAATTTAGCCATCGTCTTCTCTAGTTCCAAAGATTTTTGAGGGAATATGATGAGAAAAAAAATAAATCTTAGTAAATTCTAAGAAAATTAACACTTTTACATTATTAAGGTTTCCAGTCAAATGTTGTGTAATTCTGTTCCCCATTTTATCAAAACCAACATTTTTATTTTCACATAAAAATTTAAGTTTCACACTCTCATTAAACAAAACCAAAATATCCTAAACAATACAAGAAGAGATTTATAAGTTTTTGCTCACCACTGTATCCCAGTATGAAGCCTAACACATCACAGGTTTTCAAAAACTTAATGAATTAATAAGATATAGTCAAGAAAGCACAATAAAACCTGCATATATACAGGCTGAGTACCCCTCATCTGAAAATTCAAAATGTCCAGAATCTGAAACTCTTTGGGTACCAACATGATGCTCAAAGGAAATGTTCACTGGAGCATTCTAGATTTGGGATTTTTTGGATTAGGGGTGCTGAACCGGTTAAGTATACTGCAAATATTCCAAAATCTGAAAAAAATATGAAATCTAAAACACTTCTGGTCACAACCATTTCAGTTAAAGAATACTCGACCTGCATTATGTCTGCAACTAAATGTAAATGTGTGAATGTGGACAAACATTATAAAGAGAACGCATACAAATTTGTTTTGGTAGTCAGTTTTTTCTTGGTTTGGGAAAGGATCTCTGTACCAACCCACTCCAATTTCTTGAACAACTGAGCTAGGCATTTTGTTTGTTGGTTTCCTTAATTCACCCCCAGGATAAAAAAACTAAAAAAGTCCTACTACTGATATTTCTATTTATTATCCATATAATAGCCAATCATTTTTAAATATACATTCCTTATAATCTGCATTTATTTATGACACTCAAATAATTGTATCTGATACTATCAAAGCTCTTCTATAAAACCTCTCTTTTAAAGGAAGATATATATATAACAATATACAACAAAACTCTGAAGACATGGGACTCAAGTGATGGGAAAGGTATAAATGATAAAACGTCTGCTTACTTTGAAGAGCTCTGTTATGTCGCATTAAGTCACCCTGTAGTCATTTCTTTATGCTTTTCAAAAAACACTGAGTCCTCTGACACAAAAGGTAGGATAGATAATCATACAGTTACTATGAGTGGAAATGACCTCAGCTAATAGGAAACTGATGGAATTTCTAATGAAAGTCCCAAACAAACCAGTATCTTATTTTTTTTAGATCAGTTTTCTTAAAAATCTCTTTTGTAACTGTGGTATTATTTATTCTAGTTTTATAAAATACAGTACTTCACCTTTAACAAGTTTGGGGCTTGTCAGCGTCAGCATCCCAGCATGCCCTGATAGATCAAGGCCACTAGCAAGCCACACTGGCCCACACAGAATGTCTTCTTTATGATCTTCTAAAAATGGACATAATCTAAGACCTAGGAAAAAAAATACACATTTTTCTTTTAAATCAGTTTGTTCTTTTTAAGTGTAATATATAGTTAGCAAATATCCATCCTATTTTCAGATAACGTCACCATACAAAATACCATACTTAGAATGTGCTCAAATAAGAATTCATTGCCATGCTAAGGAACTATTATCTATTATCTTGCTTTCTATTCCCATATTATTTTACATTTCACCTTGATTTTCAAAAAATTTATAAAACCATGATTTGATTTCAAATTCCAAGGAATTAAAAAACAAGAATGCAAGTATTAGCGCAGCTGTGTTCACAAAGATGAGCTGAAAGTTAAAGCATATAGCCAAAGCAGAATTAGGTTATTTTTTAATCATGTTCTTAAAACCAAGTTTTTGCAAGCCATAAGGAAATCTTTGCCCAACATGATGCATTCAGATCACTACTCCTTTTACTGTCATGGACAACAGCTCTGTAATTTAACTCACACTGTGATTCCTCTACATCCATGTGCTGCATTTCTTCATTCAAATCAATCAGGGACGGTTTCCCATTTTGTTCCACTTCAATGTTAAGAGCTGGAGACAAAGGAAAGGTGATCTGCCTATCTACTGCTGTTTCTAGAGGATAAAAATATTAGTAAACTTAATTTTGCTTAATATCAATGATTTATGTGCCTAAAACTCTATAATTTCTGTTAACTTGGGGAACTACTATGATTTTCATCACAGATGCTCCAAAATGGTCATCAGGAGAGGAAGCAAATTTGATTTAATTTCAAGAGTTTGATGCACTCTTGAAGTTTGATATACTTCTCTCTTTTAATGGTAATAAGATAGTCATGTGAAGAAATAATTTGTTGGCAATAAACTAAAAGTTCTTACCCTAGGCCATACAGTACAAGCACCTGCAGAGTTTTAAATACACCAAAGGCTAAGTCCTAGACTCAATTCAAAATCTGTCATGATCCAAAAGAATACACACACACACACACACACGCACACGCACACGCACACACACACATATACAGTCATCCCTTGGTATCTGTGGGAAATTAGTTTTAAGACGCCCCCCGCAAGGATACCAAAATCCATGGATGCTCAAGTCCCTTATATAAAATGGCACAGTGGTTGCAAAGAACATACCCGCATTCTCCCATATACTTTAAATCATCTCTAGATTACTCATAATACCTAATACAATGTAAATGCTACATCGTTGTTATTATATTGTTTATTTGTATTGTTTTTTATTGTTATATTGTTATTTTTTATTGGGTTTTTTCCCCCAAATATTTTCAATCTGTGGTTGATTGAATACTCAGATGCTGAATCCACAGATACAGAGGGCCAAATGTTTATGTAATATTTGACACAGGAAATTCTTCAGATTTCAATGCTTGAAATCCTGGTGTTAATTTGCCATTTTACCCTGAAATTATTGCTAGCCTTTTATTTTTTTATTTTTTTTGAGACAGAGTCTCACTGTGTTGCTCAGGCTAGAGTGCCATGGTGGTGTCATCCTTGCTCACAGCAACCTCAAACTCCTGGGCTCAAGCGATCCTCCTGCCCCAGCCTCCCGAGTAGCTGGGACTACAGGCATGTGCCACCATGTCCGGCTAATTTTTTCTATATATTTTTAGTTGCCCAATTAATTTCTTTCTATTTTTTTAGTAGAGACAGGGTCTCGCTCTTGCTCAGGCTGGTTTCGAACTCCTGAGCTCAAACAATCCACCCGCCTCAGCCTCCCAGAGAGCTAGGATTACAGGCGTGAGCCACCGCGCCCGGCCATTACTAGCCTTTTAAACTAACCTATTAAAAAGAAAACAATGAGATGGAACATCTCATTCCGAACATGCTAAATGTATACAATCTATTTTAATAACTCAGTATATGAAAATCTGAACTTGTCGATAAATAAAAATGCATGTATTTCCAGCATTACATGAAATGTTGGTTTCATTGTTAACCTTAAAAGAGTATGTAACTTTCACGACAGTTCTTTTCACAATCAAGTCTCTTCTTAGAAAAAGAAATGCATGAAGGCAGTAATACTAAAAGTGAAACTAATTCAAAAAGGAACTAATCCCATTTCCCAAAAAGCATGATTATTCAAATTCATGTAATTCTGAACATTACCGGGTTACTCATAAGCTCTGAAAAGTTCTCTGAGTTACTTTTCTAAATAAAATCACAAAACAAAGAGCAGGCAAATAGCGATGGGGGCAGGATGATGGTACATCAAACCTAGACAGCCAAGTTGAAAATTAGTATTTTTAAGAAATGAGATAAAATTTTCAAACATAAATTTTGACCCGTTCTTACCATTGACTTTCCCTAAGCCAGGAGCTTTATTTTTCAGCAGTGTCACTTGTATCTGTGGAATACTGGTGATGTTTGAGTTCAAAACAAATTTGAAGTCCACATGTCCAACCATGCAAGCTTTGGGTAGTACCAATTCGAATACATGTTCATCCCAGCTGTTGCTGTCAAATGAAAGGAAAAATGCTAAATAAAGCAAAAATCTTTCTTCAGCCTTAATCATATTATCATTAATATCATCTTTACGGCTTTTTGACTCGTAGCTTACAATAAAACTTAATGTTTCTCAATGGGATCAAGAGAGAAAATAAGTAGCTCACAATGTTAAATGTAGAGTAATGAATGATTTTACTTTAGGAATCTACACCTGTGTTGAGACTTGTACATACCAATAAACACTTGTTCCTCAGAGTGTGGACTATCACACCTCAGAATTACCTACAGATTCCTGGGCCCCACCCTAGACCTATGAGTGGGGTCCCAGAAACTTCATTTTAAAACAAAAACTAATTGTATTTCTTATATATATTCATTCTTGGGTTTTAAATTCTACCTGTATGTTGGAAAATGAAAATCCCCAAACCAAACTACTCCACTAAATTTAAGGTTTATATCCAAATGTCTACCAGACATCTCAAACTCATCATGAAAAAAACCAAACTTCTTGATTACACACTCCCAAATCCCAGTGAACAAAAATTTCATTTTTCAGTGGCTCAAGCCAAAACCTTAGAGTCACCCTTGACTCTTCTCTCACAGTGTGTTCAATACATCAGCAAATTCCATTCCTTATACTTCCAACTTATATCTAGAATCCAACCACTCTTTTCGCTACTTCCATCACTAACACAATGATCCAAGGTACCATCAGCATTATACCTGGATTACCACAATAGCAACCAAACTAGAATGCTTGCTTCTATCACTGCCCTCCACCACCACAACCACTATAATTCTCAACACAGAAGTCACAGTAATCCTTCTAAAGCATGAATCATAACATTACTCTGTATTCAAAACCCTCTAACACCTTCCCATTCCGTGCAGCATGAAAGTCTTCTGCTACATCCTATAAAAACACTACCTGGCCCCTAGCCACCTCTTTCGACCTCACCTCCTACAACTTTCCCCTACATTTACTGCACTCCAACAATAATGGTCTTTCTTTTCCTAGAACTCATAAAACACACTCTTCAGGGTCTTTGTACTTGCTCTTGCCTCTGAATTAGAATATCCATGGAGGCCTTTCTCAGTCCCCTTATATAAAAAAAAAATACACATTTTCTCTCTTTCATTCACTCTCTCACACTTACATAGAATTACACGCCTAACAACTATACTCTATTGCCACACTCCAGTTTAATATGCCTCATAGCTTTTATGACCATATGGCAAATTATATTATGTATCTGTTTACTGTCTATCACCACCAGAATGTAAATTCCAAAAGAGTCATATCACTAGTGCCTACAAGAGTGCCTGCTTTTATAAAACAAGCATTTAAGTATTTGTTAAATAAATTCGTGGACTAAGTAATCGAACTAAATGCAATGGTAGACTACTACTCTCACTATTTTATCCTACAACTGAGAATATAAAAATTTCCAAAATCAAGATGACAAATGGAAGGAATAAAGTTATTAAAATGCAAAAGTTAAGATAAACAGTAGTAAACCTAGGAATGCTATGTTGTCTCTAACAAATATATAATATGGACTTAAAATTAAATATCTAGGGGAAATGTTTTACCTGTCAGTCTGTAGTTTCCAAGTTCTAGTATGTTGAGCAGCATCTCCATGGTGTTGCTGATGCAAATGTTGAGGATGCCGCCTTTGCTGCTGTTCTTGCTGAACTTCTACCCAGCATGGAGGAACAGTTGCTGAAAACCGTGGAGTCAAAGTCTCAAAGCGGGTTAGCTCCACTAGAGATGTCAAGATTTCAAGGGTGAATGGCTGGTCCACCAATAACTCAACTCCTTAACATCAGTGGATGTAGTATTTGAAACGGGTTAAAAAAAAGGAGAAGATGGTGATGAAGTTTTAATTCATGTTTTTTGTCTATGAAATGGCAACACTTGCCAAATATCCTGAAAGTTAATAAAGTGGGCTCACGTATCTATATACAACTAAAGTAACCAGCACTGACTGAATAATATCACAGAAAAGAAAATCCACATTGAATATTTTAAATTATAGCTAGTGTAGTACTATTGGAGAAACCCAAGTGCAACTCATGAGAAGAGGTTTTACTGAGTTTTAGCCCTAAGTTAATGGGGGCAAGAAAAGCAGTGGTGATAAAACACAAACCAATTTACACCGGATCAATGTAGGGCCCAGCAGGGTGGCTCTTGTCTATAATCCTAGGACTCTGGGAGGCCAAGGCAGTCGAGGTCAGGAGTTTCAGACCAGCCAGAGCAAGAGCAAGATCATCTCTACCAAATATAGAAAAAATTAGCCAGGCAGCCTGTTCCTGTAGTCCCAGCTACTGAGGAGGCTGAGGTAAAAGGATCACTTGAGCTCAGGAGTTTGTGGTTGCAGTGAGCTATGATGATACCACTGCACTCTAGCCAAGGTGACAGAGTAAAACTCTATCTCAAAAAAAAAAAAATTTAACTTTTAGGCCCTGTTATTTAGAAAACAAAATGCTAGACACATCAGCAAATACATATCATATGCCCTTTCAGAATCAATAAAAAACCAATTTTAAAAAATAATCAAAAGCTATATTGATGACAAATAATTACAAATAGAAAGATTAAACAGTTATTTTTTTCTACTTCTGTAGTAATAAAGAATATCTTGTGTATATATCAGTGTTATAAGAGTAACAACCTGCTTCAGACAGAATAGGTTTCTTTTACAGATCCTACACATACAGTCACATCTATGAGATATCTAACATTTGACAAAGCTGAGAAGCTGTTGTTGTTTCAATTTAAAAAAATAAGTTTTTTTAAAAAAGATTAAAATATGAAATTTGAAATCTGGTAGGTTTAGAATATTTTCACAAAGAAAAATGACACCAAGTTCCATAAAATTATTACAAGTTTACTTCAAACTACATCTTTTTCTAGCCCTTTCAAATCCAATTAAGAGTATTAAATATTGTTCATAAACATAATAGCATGATGCCAGTATCCTTTCTTTACATTATTTAGTTCTTTACAAGCTAATTCATCTTTTCTCTACTAAAAAGTATTTTTATGAACTTTATATGAAAATTCTTCTCTATCAATAACCTGCAAAATATGAAAATATTCAGAATGTGAGCTTTTTATACCAAGTTGTATAGTTAACCAAGACATTGAAGTCTTGATAAATTAGAGCAAATCATTACATCTCAACTGGAGGATGAGTCTGTCTCCAACGAGTTATTTGGAAATATTTCATTGTGGGGACAGTTGTGCATACTACTAAAATCCAATGGGTAGAAGCCAGAGATGCTGCTTAAACAACAAAGGACAGTCCTCCCACAACAAAAATTATCTGGTGTTGAGGTTGAGAAAGCTTGACATATAAAGTAATGAGGATTGCCACACATTATAACAGTAATCCCTAAAAATCACTGAAGTTAACATGTATTAGTGATTCACTAAAAGTTTGCTTTTAGTGCAAAGAAGAATGATCAAATGCCCAAATACAAGTGTCCATAAAGATCAAGTAATAACTTTCAGAATTATTCATATTTCAAATATGTTTGAGTTTAAACATACTTTTCATTAAAGATTTATTAAACTTTTAAATGCTAGGTTCAGAGGATAAAATATGGTAAGTGCTCAGAGTAAAACATAACAGCACTATGGAAGCACAGAAGGACTAACTGTCGGTGTGAAGAGTGGGGGTAAGAGAGCCTACTATGATACATGAAGAGCATGAAACTGAATCACATTCTGGAGATTAAGAAGTAATCTCGAATTATTTTATAGAAGTATACAAAGCAAATAATGATTTTTCAGCAGGGAGTAACATGCTTCATTACTTTTTTTGAAAACATAGCTCTGGAGGGCAACATGGAACACGGGTAGGGAAAAAAGGTAAAAACAAACTTATCTGGAGATTCAGGGCAATGTGAATGTGAATGTACCACCTCAATACACTCAGGGAGAGTTAATTTTTTTTCAGCTTTTCAATTCCAGTGGTAGTATTAATAATATTAGCCAGTCCACTAATTTTTTGTACTTACTCAATGAATTCTCTTCCCTTTCATATACTGTTTTCCTCCCTAACTAGATTAAAAAAGCTCCTTAATGGCTGAAATAATGTTTTTATCTCTTAGGTGGCTTCACCAATATTGATTAATCTACCACAGGATGATAATCATTTCTTATTTTAATATGTTTGCAACATCTTCCAACTACTAGAAAAATAATGAAAAATAATATACAGTAACAAGCCTAGTAAAAGAATCTCAACAAGGAAATGAACTCCCAAAACAAAGCAATCAAGAGTTGATTATAAAAAATACAATAATGATTAAGTACACAAAACAGACTCAGAAAACTTAACATGACAAGAATTCACATTTTAAAAAATCATTTAAAAATTTAATATCATACCTGAAATGCCAGGACTTGAAGGATTTGATAGAGGTTTGGAACCTTCTGAAGATGGTTCTATTCCTTTAGAAAGAGATCCATCCACTAGTATATCAGCTTCATCAATATCATCACAGGTTCCTCCAATTTGGAGAAAATGAAGCTCACCACCTACAGTGTAGTAAATTTCATAGATAAATGTAAAATGAGTAAACACTCAAATATTCAAATGCAATACTACTTAGTTAAGAAACAATTTATTTTAATATCACTTCAAAGGCAGATGAGGAAGGCAATCAAAGTGAGCTATTTCCTAGAGTTCAGAAATTTAATTGCCAAGTAACTGCAAACTGAAAACCAATTTTAATGAAGAAAATGACAAATTCATAAACATGTGAAAATAGGTATTTCTGTAGTACCATGTATAGGACACTATTTTAAGCACTTTAATTAATTCATTTAATCTTCATTAAAAACTCTTGAGGTAGGAACTACTACTGTGGCCATTTTACAAAGGAGAAAACTGATGCACTAAGCTATACTGGGACCCATACCCCAATCTCTTAATCCCAACAGGAACAGAACTGAACAAATATTCCTAATTTTTCTAAAAACCCACAATGCAAGCAACTCAAATTTCCAGTTTTCATATCTGTCACAGGAAAAAATTGACAACAAACTTAGCAAATAATTAAGGACCAAAAAAAGCAATGATTAATATTATATTCCAACAAGAATATTTGGAAATTCATTTTCAGCATGCTAGAATGAGGAAGATGGTAAATCCCCTTCCTGAAAGCCACTATAAAGCTGTACAAAACTGTCATTCAACCAGAACAGGGCCAGCAGTGTAAACAAGCAGATTTGCTGCCACTTCCTGAGAGGGCTCATTTGATTTCGAGAGCTTTCAGTTTAAAGCAGTGATTTCAATGAGAAATGAACAAGGAGATCTGCTATCCTGTCTGGGGCAAGCAAAGCACTAGAAATACTAGGAATTTAGCACAGAATTACAAGAACTGAGAGAAGTACAGGTGGCTTGGTAAACTCTCCACATAACTCACTTTGATCAGAGGCTATGCACATGTGCAGCAAAGACCAGAGGGGGCCCAGGCAATCAACACATCCCCAACCAACTAACCTCTGTACCTACCTGGAAGAGACTTGCAAGAGTGCAATAGAAAATAAAAGCCAGAGTACACTTGAACATGGCCTTACTGGCACAAGTTATCCATCTTTGGCTAATACTAAGCCACGATGACACAGAAGCAACAAAGTAAGAAACAAGGCTTAAAAATGAAAGGGGGGTGGGGGAAGGTGGATGAGGAGAGAAATTAGCAGCTGCACATGGTAACAAATAAAGCAAATGGGGCAGGGGGTGCAGGTAAGGGATGTGAATCCAGTGTTTCTATGTTATGTCTGAAAATGAATAAAACATTACAAGCCATGCAAAGAGTGACATATGCTCAAGATTTAAAAAAAAAAAATAGAAAATGGCTGAGTGTTCCAGATGTCAGATTTAGCAGACAAAAACTTCAAAGTTATTGTAAATATTTTTACAGAACAACAGGAAACTAAGTATAAAGAATTACAGGAAGGAATGGTGCAAATGACTCAACAAACAAATAGAAATAATTTTTAAAAAGAAAAAAGGGGAGGAGCCAAGATGGAGGACGAGAAAAGCCGCCAGTCTGTCTCTGCAAAAAAGACGAATTTTAGAAGAAAGAGAAAAAAATAAGCTAGCAGAGAAACATAGATCGGGTGAGGGTTGGAAGGAAGGGTGCCTGAAACTACAGGAGACTCCACGGGAAGACGTTGCGGAGGAGAACTGGAAGGAGAAAGGTCCCGAGAGGCTTGGAGACCAGCGACAAGGGTAAGTGGAGCGGTTAACTTCCCCCTCCCTTGCATCTTGGACTGCTGGTGGCTCCTGAGCGGCTGGAGAGACCTAACGACACCAGCCCAGAGACGGCTGCCGCCAGTGAGCAGTGGCCTCTTGCAGACTCAGCGCCGGACTCCCAGCCCCGTCGGGGCACCTCCCCGGGTGCAGACCCGACCCTATCGGCAGACACCGTAGTACTCCATTCTCTCCTTCCCCCTCCCTACCTGTGGGCGCCCAGAGAGACAATTTAGCCATCACACGGAGGCATCTCCAAGGAACGGGACCTTTCCTTTTGGGGCCCTACAGCAGACTGAGGGGTACTCAGACTGAGAGTTCCCTATCCGCCAGCCCTCCCAGGTGCTGCTTGCCTGGGGACTCCAGAGAGTGGGGCAAATCCCGAGGTGGAGTGAAATCAATCCAGCTTGGGCACCCTGTAGGTGACTCGGGACCAGTGCCTCTCCCCCTGGCAGGGTCCCGGATTGATCTCCAGGGTCCAGAGGACAGGCCTGCAGACCAGACCTCATACACCCAGGTCAGGATCACACTGCCCCGGAGCACAGAAGAGAGATCTGTGAAAGAGCCTACTGAGGAGTGTGCACCTTCAGGGACAGATCAGCATGCCGGAGCGGCAACCCTCCTCCCGAAAGAGGGCTGTGCACCCAGCTCAGGCTGCGATCCTGGGTAGGGAACCTCCTGGCCCACGACACAGCCAGGGGAGATCCACCCATCGGCCTGAGGTCCCACTTGCTGGCAGAGGCTTGGGAGAGGACACGGAGAGGGGGAGATTGGAGGGGAGTGAGACCTGCTCCAGAGTGCGGGTTTTGGACAGCCCCACCCCCAAGCCCAGACTTTCAGCTGAGTGGAGCCATTTCAGCCCCTCCCAGCAGCTCTACACAGAAACAAAGAGCAGACTTCTGACCCCTGCTAACAGCAGCGTGGAGCCTGAGGGCAGGCTTACCCAACCCAGCCCCACCAGACTCACTCCAGGTCCTGTCCCCACTGAGGTGGAGAATAAGGACACACCTGGAAATCCCAGGGCCCCACCCACCACCGGAGGCACAAGAGGGCCTCTTAGGAGGAATAAGAGCTAGCTACAGGACCCAAAAACAGCACTGCAGCTCGCTCCTCCCTGCAAGTGCCACTTACTGACAGGGAGGTCATCCTGCACACCCTTTTACTGCACCTACTGATTGATCATAAAGGGAGTGGTCGAATCTCACCCACAAACACCACCTACTGGCTCAGAGACTAAACAGGGCGTGTCACTATCCAAACAAAAATCTAAAGGCAAGAAGGGACAACTGATCCAGATGGGAAGGAACCAGCGAAAGAACTCTGGAAGTATGAAGACTCAAACAGAAAGCACACCCCCAAAGAGGAACAACAGCTCCCCAGCAATGGACATTAACCAAACTCAGAACACTAAAATGACAGAAGAATTTCAAACACGGATTGTAAGAAAACTGAATGATATGCAAGAAAAAATGGATAACCAACACAAAGAAACCACAAAAAAAATCCAGGATTTGGGAGAAAAATTCACTAAAGAAATTGAAATACTAAAGAAAAATCAAACCGATCTCCTGGAAATAAAAGACTTACACAGGGAACTACAAAACACAGTGGAAAGCCTCAAGAACAGGGTAGCTCAAACAGAAGAAAGAATCTCAGAGATTGAAGACAACTCCTTCCAGTTAAATAAGTCAGTCACAGAAATCGAGCAGAAAATTAAGATAAAAGAAATAAACCTAAAAGAAATGTGGGATTATGTGAAAACACCGAACCTGAGGGTGATAGGGGGTGATAGGAAGGTGAAGAAGAAAACACTCAAGGGCTGGATAAGCTATTTGAAGAATTAATAGAGGAGAATTTTCCAGGCCTTGCTAAAAATCTAGATACACAGGTACAAGAAGCTCAATGGACCCCAGGGAGATTCAATGCAAATAGGAAGACACCACGTCACGCAGTCATCAGAT